CAGGAATCAAAATCGTGTTGTGGTGATGTTGGGTGGTGTTGACATACGTTGCCGCACGAGCGGTACAACTTGCCGTAGTCCTCAACGTAGTAGTTGATGACGTTGACAGTACCGCATCCGTTGTGCTGGATAACCTTATCAGAAGCGTGGTAGGCACCACCGCCGATGATCCAGGACTCAGTTCCGGCCTTGTCGTTCTTGATCGAGATGGCATCCTCGCAGACGTCCTCGAACCAGACGAACTCGAGGGTGCAGTGGCCGTTGCAGTGGACACCCTCAGCCTGGTTCTTGCCAATAATGGCATTCTTCAGAGTACCGCCGGCTTGGATGTAAAAGACAGAGTCCTTGTAGTCTGTTGAGAGGCATATTGTCAGAGAGTCGATATCAGCCTTCAGGGTGGGATGACAACTTACCACCCTCGCTCTGGCCGCCGCAGGCACCAGAGCCGCGGTCGAAGCGCTGCCACTTTCCGTCGTAGACCTGACCGGCCTTGATCTCGATGTACGACTTGGAAGACACGGTGCCGGTGGCCTTGGGGACACCTCCGGTGTAGCCGTTGCAGGCGAGGGCCGGGACAGCGGCCAACAAAGGCACCAGGCCGAACTTGAAAATCTGCATCTTGAAGAAGACTGAGCGTATCTACACACGTGATTTATAAAAGAAGGAATGTAGTAGTTGGTTTAAGGTTGAGAGAGTGAGGGTGGTGGGCAGAACGAGTTTCCCGAGAAGGTCGGATCAGACGCCGACTTATATACAAACCTTACAAAGACAGAGATCCCTTGTTGAAGAGGAGGAGACTGCCGGCTTCGTTCTCGACCGATCCCGCGATTCAGAGCAGGTGTTTAGGCAGACTAACCAAGACTCATCGTGGCGCTGGGGTCGACGAGCTAATTGGTCCGGGTGGAGACCGAGGGATGGGGAGGGGGTCTGCTTCGAGAAGGCAAAGCTGGGCTATTGGTGGACATGAAAATTGCGGGCTCGGGAGATGCCTGCATGGTTTCTTTTGCGCCATGCTAGGTTGTCGATGGAGACTGTCTAAGATTTGCTCCGCGTGCCGGCGTTGGCGTGAGAGTTTGGCACTTAGGATTCCGCGGGAATGGTATCTCTGGACTGATCCACACCTGGCATTCAGTAGCAATCAACATCGCATGCAAGGGCGAACACAGCGCGCATGATGAAACTCCTGGATAACTCCAGAACGGAGAAACATGCGAGTGAGAGGCACGGGTGATAACGAGCGAGCCGCCAACCGAATGTCACTAAAGACAAAGACGGACGTCGTAATGTACCCTGTCAATATTATTCCTGGGGATGTATAATCAGTAAGGTGACGCTGTGACGGTAAGTCAGAATTCGGTCTCCGGTATGAAGCGGCCCAATCGGCGATCAATACGAGACCTTCATGAAGAAATTAAGCTACGTAGGGTTGTCGACGGGAGCCCAGATGCCAGGTTGTCTCAGGCGAGGCTACTGGATACCAAATGCTCACAGCGGGACGCACCCCATGATCCGTCCTTCTGGACGCTAGACAGACTGACGGAAAATGTCTGACAATCTGTACCAATGACACATACCGAGGAGCGGGAATCCGACGCCAGATGGTTGTCAAGACTGAACCGTGGTTGACACCCTCCTCTCCCTGCGGTCTGTTGTGGTGTGGTTTGGCAAGGCGGAGTTGCCAAGACTTTAAAGTGCTCTCCATGTGCGCAATGGGATGGATTGCCGCAGCTAACAACCCGGTCCGCTGCTGGATGTTGATTAACGCCAAGACCCAACTCGCCTCAATTGCACTACCAAAGAAAATTGCCAGGAGGCATTGCCCCGCACCAACATTCTGGATTCTTTTCTTCCTTTTCAATGTTCACCATCACCGGTTGTTGAAAGAAGAATCGACCGAGCCAATTGTTTGTCACGGACCTCATCGGAAGCGGTCTATCGGCCCCACCGCGACCGAGACCGACCGCCCTTGCTGTCGGTTGCCTCCTGGCCTTGCCTAACCTTATCCATCACCCCCTGTTGTTGCGCCCGATGATCTGTTGCCTTTTTGACGGCTGTCATCTGAACTTCTGAACCAAACTTGTTCCTTCTGCCCCTTTCCTACCAGAACGCACAGTAGTTTGTTGGGTGCCATATCCGATGTGCTGGACTGTCGTTCGCCCATGCAAGATACATCCCACGTGCCCAGCCTTTTGATAGTGTCTTGGCCTTCCTTCTCATCTAAAGCAGCGTTTTGGATCATCTCCCGCTTTCCCGTCCCCGTTCCTGAGGCTATGCTGAATGTCAATCCGGCTTCTCTCCGAACGCACAGGTATCTCGGAGGTAAACCACCTCATCGTCCCGCTTCGCCTTGTGGCACCTCGTCCACCTTGCCGGATTGTGGTATCCATCACACCTGAAGCCGTTGGAAATCACCGGCATTTCCGCTGCGACTTTGCACTCTTCGCTGGCAACTCCAGTTTTCGGCATGCTCAAAATATTGCCCGCCCTCCATATTGGCAGCGCTTATTCCCGATGAGGCTTCTACCTCCGCTGGCTGGCCAAAAGGGGTGAGCAAGGTGAGTTTTCCCCTGAAACCCCAGTCACCCAGCACCCTTTCGATACATCCCACACGCGAGTTCCCCATCCGCCCAGCTCCCTGAGACTGACTGCTGGATAATGTAGCAGACGGATCTGCGTGAGTGCGAGAGTGTAAAGAAAATGCCATCCCTCGCATTAAGACCACCCACATATTATGAAGTCATCACATCAAGCTCATTTAAGCTGCCTCTTCAACATTGCCTAGCTTGACTACGAAGCAAGGATCAACCTGCTTTGACCAACCGACCAAACAACGGAGTCCACTGCATCCACCAGAAAGAAGCGATATGGGATGGAAACACTCATTCCTTGGTTGTCGGAAATTCCCCACGCTTTCACAAATGACACTAGACACTAAAGTGTCAGCTGCAGAGTCAAGTGACAAGTGACGCCGGCAGACAGGGCCCAGAAGCCCGGAAGACAAATGGAAGCGTCTGATGTTGCCACACTGCATTATCAGCCTCAGCAAACTGCCACGAGATGCGCCCGCACCGTGTCGACCTTCCGTGCCGAGCAAAAGACAACAGCCCACCAAGTGAGAAGCTCATCAAACAACATAACAACAACGACACCCGTGAGCTTGGCTCACTTTGCGGTGCGTCCCGTCAATAATCCCACCACTGAGAACTTGAGACAACTCAAAATTCATAAGGGTGATCCTTGAATGCTCCCAGCCCCTAATGTACCCAGTAAACTGCCTGGGAGGTTCAGAGAAGAAAGTCGCGCTCCTCCTTCGGTTTGCCTCTTCACTGTACCCTGCCGCCAAGCTTTCCACGATACTACCGTCGTGGATACCAGCACTATCAGGTCTTGGCAATCCCCAATGCTCTGATTCCACTTGGCGCTCACCGCACCAATGTCTTCGTGGTGCCAATCTCCGCGGCGTCCTGCGGAAAGTCAACTCAGGAGTCGAACAGACTGCTTGAGTCAAAATAAAAGACTTCACTCGGAAAAAGGTGCCCGATATCCCGCTTCGATGGTAGCATTCAGCAAGTTCACATGACAGACAGAATTAATCCGTATGTACTGGACTTCCTCGATCCCGCCTCCCGGCCCTCCCCTGAAGACTCCCATATCACCATGGTGGACCCAGGCTATCCCTTCCTTCGAGATCACCCTCCGGATCTCAACTTAATCGTATATCACAATTGACTTCCGTCACGGGCCCTCTCGCGAAAGGTTCACCATGGCGCCGGAAATCATTTACATGCTTCACTGCTCACAGACGATCGGCCTGCTTGGCTCTACTTCAGGTGAAAAACAAGGGGGATGAAGAGGTACAGCCCTCCTTGGCTATCTCGTGTTGGGAGACCATTAGCTATCGGTCAGCGTGAAAATTTCAGATGGGCCGGCATCCTGAAGTGCCCGGCATATTCCCTGAAGCCTTTGTACAATTTTACGACAATTATGCCCTCCTACCTACTGCCGGAAAATCTTAGAACTCGAGGGATGTAGTGTAATGCCAAGACCACAGTTGACTATTTCGTACTTCGAAGGAAAACTTCTGCCCATCGCTACCAACGAAAGCCGCGAAGAAGAAGCAGCACGACCCTGCAATTGCGCTCATTCCGCCACTTTCGGGCTTCCATACGGAATACCGACAAGGTCTTGGCCCTACGGGGCTTAACCGGGGGCGAGGACTGGCTACCCTTGGCGCTCTGTGGATCCTTCTAAACGGCGCGCAATCCGGCCCCATGCTCTGCCATTCCCGCCGCTGGTGACGGTGAGTCCTTTTCACCGAGGCAATATCGACAGAGGCCTCACGGGCCAAGACGCGGCCCCTTATTCGGCGATGGAGATCTGGGTGCCTCGGGAGCCCCTGCGTGCGGCTACCGCCTCTACTGCCAAGCATATCCGAGATGGCCTTTTTCAACGACCCCAGTCTTGGCGCTAACTCAGAGCGGGCAGACAGAAAAGGGGTTACTCTGAACCGCATTTGCACATGCGAAAACTGTGTTCTTCAGAATACGAAGGCTTGACGGGTCTCAACTCAATGACTCGGTTTTGGAGTTGTAAAACGTTCGGTACCAAGACCTCAGCCAGCGTCATGTGTCAACATCCCACTAGGTAAACGGTGAGCCCCTCTGGAAAAACTCAAACGAAGACCTAGATCGCAACAGGCCGTCTTGATAGCATGATCTTTTGATTGATTAGTGCCAAATTGAGGTGGCTCTCCGACGAATAAAGCCTGGTTGCTCCCGGAGCATCCGACTGGCGGACGCGACTAGCACGTGGTGTCTATTGAGTAGATGTATGAATGGCCAGAACAATACCTGATGATGTTTTGTTCAGCACCGCCAACCACCGAGCTTATGGGTTCCACGAAAGAGAACGTTGCTGAATTAATAGAAAACACATTACACTTGCTATTGTTACGTATCAGATGACATTCTATCAAACGGTCCATAGCTGTATGATCAACTTCAAAATCCCATGGCTGACCAGTTGTTCAAGACCTTCCGTTTTATGTCTTCTGGATACGAACTCTCAAAGTCGACATGTTTAAAATTCCTGGGCTTGGTGTATTCCGATCTTATCAGACAGTCCGAAACAAGCTTTCCGCCCCTTCTAGATGCACCCGGAATCTGAGACATATAGGGAGTCAGAGGATGACACTCAACGTCGTCAAACACATATTCATCATGAACTGGTCGACAGCGAGTCGTAAAAGCCCACATGACCTTGTCCCAGTCGTACACGTCAATGTCGTCTCCCACTAGTAGAATACGGTTGATGAGCATGCAACTCTTATTATGAAAAGCGATGCTGCCGACTTTCCGACAAAAGTCTTCAGGGGTTGTTCCCATATCTCTCAACTTGTCCGTGTCAACTTGCAAGGCACACCATGTTGCTAGTGTCTCGACGGGAGCGAAAGCTTCTTTGATGGGGAGGCCGTGTTCTTGGCATAACAGGAGAAGCTCAGGAGCTGCTAGCTGAGCTGTGGTATGCTGCGCCGAATTGAGGTGGTGTCAGAATTGTTCTCCTTTCCTGTATCGAGCAGACGGATGCACTTACAGACTCGTCTACAATATTTCCCGGGCAGGATATGGGAAGAATAGGGTTATCTCTGTAGGTAATTGCCTCAACTCGGAACAAGGGCCCCATCTTCTGTTCATTATCAAAGACCAAGGCTAGATAATCACCGAACGGACCTTCCGGCCCTTTCTTTGTGAACGACATAGTGCCCTCGAGGACGACTTCGCTGTTTGCGGGAACCAGTAAGTCACTCATTTCGCACTTGACCATGTCGAGGGGTTTTCCAGTCACGGCCCCAATGTATTCACTCTCAGATACGCCCTCTGGAACGGGCATTGACGCAACAATGCTGGCGATGGGAGGGACCCCCAAGGCAAGCGCCCAGGGCATCTCGTTGCTCCCATTCTCGATCCATTTGTCGCGGATGATGGAGTTGTGCTGTCCACTGCCGACAAGACAAACCAGATGCTTCTGATCGTGCACCATGCCGCGGAAGATTGACCAGTTCGTCCAAGATTTGTCCGGCGTTTGGAGAACATGGATTCCGTACGTCTGCAAATACTTGCCGCCGTCACCCTCGTGAAGGTACGGCGCCGGCAAATCTTCTAGGTTGATCTCATCGCCAAACATCTTGTTCTGCTTGCATGGACCAGTCTGGAGGACCTTTGGCGGCAACGGAGCCGCCTTCTTCCAAGACATGAATCGGTCTGATATTTCTTTCCAGCTTGACTTGGGTGGTAGACCCAGGTTTCTGGCAACACGTCCGAATCTCTCGACTTCATCTTGTCGTAGACTAGCAGCATTTCCAAACATGCGCCACAATCCATTGCGGGTGCCCTTGACGTTGTTGAACAATGGCGCTTTATCGTTGACCTCACTGACTCTACGTACGATGGCGCCCACCTCTAAGTGCGGGTCAACCTCGTCATTGATCTCGGCAAGGTCGTTATCGTAGCGAAGAATGTCGAGAAATTTTCTGAAGTCCAATTGAGCTTCGATGGCGTCAGGCTCTTGACACCGTTTGTCGGCTGATGAGTGCGAGTAGTTGCAATTGAAATGTTCAGCTGCTGCGAAGGGCCGCTGGTAGACTTTTCTAAGCCTACCGGCGGCCGTTGAAGAACGATATAGGGTTGTTCTAGAGGTCATGATTGTTGCGGTTGGGAGAAAGAAGAGTCCGTGACAAAGACTTCGAATTGGTCCGGGGGCCAGTTCCTTTGGTGTCATGTATGGGCTGGTGGTTTGGGTGGCTGTTACACAATGATCATCCATGCGTCATCAGCAAGCCTATCAACTATGATAACGATGGCGATTGACGGGCAAAAGCTGTTTCATGATCAGTTGTGCGCGTCGACGCGGCAGCTAGAGCTAAGTTTTCCGGAGTTCTGGAGTGGCCAAACAGGGAACACGGAACGTTCCTGCAGTGTTCCTAAGCCATTCCGCGGAACAGGAATGGTCGCCACCTCCTCGTATAGCTGTGCGATAGCCTATCGCGCATGTCTGACCGAGCTTCATGCTACAGGCTCAATCTCATACTCTAATTGCTTGAATACTTGAAAGTTGGGGAGTGAGGTGGTTGACATGGATACTTAGGTAGGCCAGAGCTGGACATAGTGAAGGTTCGTGCCCGGCGTACAGTGCCACTCAGTTCGTCCATGTTCTACAGTAAAGTTATCGCTCATTTCTGCTTTTTAGCCTAGCAGAAACAACGGTTATAATGTCTCAGCGATTTGCCCGGGCAGATTTGAGGACATTCAAGCTTTTTAGGTCGTTACAAGTACCCAATTTGCCTACACCACCCCAAGCATCTTCACGACACTTTCTCTCAACAGCTCGTCGCCAGCTAAAAGTCAACCAAGGAGAGAAGAGGAAAGACATCCGTTGTTTATCGTATTATGCTCGCCTAACCCACCGCAACAATGGCTCCGTGTCCCAACTCACACAGGCCAACGAAGATCACATTCGATGCATACAACCGCGACCGAAGCGACTGGTCGTTGGTATCACCGGCGCCACTGGCACGCCCTTTGCAATCCGCCTGCTTCAAATACTGCGTGAGATTGGTGTCGAGACGCACTTGATCATGAGCAAGTGGGCGCTCGCGACATTGAAATACGAAACGCCCCTCAGCGAGAACCAGATTCGCGGTCTAGCGCATACCAACTACACTGCGCGGGACATGTCGGCACCGATTGCGTCTGGATCGTTTCAACATGATGGCATGATCATCGTGCCATGCAGCATGAAGACACTGGCAGCTGTACGAGCTGGGTTTGGAGACGACCTGATATCCCGCGCCGCGGATGTTACACTCAAAGAAGGCCGGCGGCTGACGCTTGTTGTGCGAGAAACGCCACTGAACGACATCCATCTCGACAACATGTTGTTTCTTCGACGAGCCGGGGCTGTAATTTTCCCACCCGTGCCTGCGTTTTATTCGCGACCGAAGACCTTGGAGGATATCATTGACCATAGTGTCGGTCGGATGCTAGACTCACTGGGCTTCCACATCGATAGTTTTGAAAGATGGGATGGATTTCGAAAAGACTAGAGACGTTGCTGGGACAAAGTATTAGACGCCGGACAATTCATTCCTCGTACAAAAGTTCTCCCTCCGAGAAGAATGTCTGACTGTCCACGAGCGGCCAATCGCAGAAAATTGATCTAGTCCCTCCAAATACCGCCGCTGGACTAGCAATAGTTCCATCAAAGCCGGTGTTGGCTGCATCCGCTGAACCGGGAAGAAATGGCATATCTTGCATGAAGTCGTTTGAGAATGGTGGATAAAGGCTGCTTGCGTCGTTAACTTCGATATTGATGTCATTGTTCGCCAGTCCGCCTTCTGCTACTCTCTGCTCTGCCGCCGAACTCGCCAGGCAAAATTGGTCTTCCAGGCTCTGCCCAGACTGCTTGACGACCGTGGTATGCATGCTGCTGAGATTTGCTGCCCAGGATGAGCGGTTAAGATTTGCGCCTCGTTTTGGTACTCGCATGGGGCGCTCTTCGTCATCGCAAATAATTTTGAGCTGCATCAAAGGTTCACGCATGAGTAATAATCTCTTCCATAGCTTGCGAGATGCTCGTGATGCGTCTTTGTATGCCTTTGCCAACTTGAGAGCCTTCCTGAAACTCTTGCTCACGGTGTCAGAGAAGCTCTCGGGTAAGTCAGGGGCTAGAGTGCTATGATTCTGAGCGAGGTGGGCAATCACGAGAGACATGAGAGCACATGCGCTAACGAGCAGGTGGACGTAAAAAGGCTGTTGTTTTCGGTAGACATCCGTGGCCTTGTCCAGCTTCGACAATATGCTGATCGACTCAGCTGAAAGCCTTAAGGCGGGCTCGATGTTCTTTCTGCTGCCAGGTGTAGGCTTGTTGGTGAAGAAAAAGGGGCGGAGAAGCATGCTGTGGGCCGCATTGGCTCTTAGGTTGAGAAGGACTGCCCAAGATGGTATGCGGCGGATTGGGGTCATGACGAATACCTCGTGCTGTCTGAGGTCAAAGTTTCCCACAGAATTCTTTCTCCACTGCTCAATCTGGAAATTCAGGATGTCGAAAGTCTCATCTTCATCGTACGGCTGACCTGTTGCGGCACTGCGAGCAACCGGTGACGTAAACTTGTCGCTGAGTGCCATGAATGCCACCATTGCTCGGAGATATGGAGATTCAACGGACGACTTCATAGCTTGGTGGAAATGCGACTCTTGAAAATGGGTTGGCAACCCTGTAGCCGCGCTCCACTGCCTGTCTAAGACGATCGTTGTGCATATGACAGCAATAACCTGTACTCGCTCGCGTTCAGATCCTAGGATGTGCTCAGGAACATCGCGACTATGAAGTCCAAGCTCAAGGAGTATGTTGCCTGCTGTTCCACACATTCTCCACGCCGTTCGTGCATCGTCTCGGAAAAATTGATAAGTTCCCTGTTGACAGGACATGTCAGCCAAAGTGCCTTACCAAGGTTAAGTCAAATAAAAGGGGCCCCTGGCTCACCACTAGAATCGCAATTACTGCATTATTCACATGAGATACAGAGGACATTAGTCGTGTTTCAATGTTTTGCCGGCAATAGGAGTAAATCTCCCCGGGCACGTCAATACTTGGATGTTGAGTTGGCTCAGCACAAAGCGCAATGGAGAGTACGAGGTTGATGATCAGGACCGAAGATTCGTCGATAACTTCGCTGAAACCTGAGTTCGTGGAAAAGTCGGTTGCGTACGTGTGAGCATTGAGTTGGTAGAGCCTTTCGAGCTGGCTGACGAGATTCTGGATGTCTAGGATGGGATGGAAGTCGCCGAAAACCTCTTGATAGGTAGAAATTAGCTGCGTAGCTCGGCGCTTTGTGAGATGTCGTGTAAACCCAACCAGCCTCTTTAGAGAGCCGCCAGAATCTTGACCAGAAGGACCATCATGGAAATCATATCCCGAGCCATTCTCCGACTCTCCATCATCTGACTGAGAGTCCTCTATACTAGGGAGATATGGTCGGCTAGACTGATGGCTGAAGATGCCCTGCTTCATGCGCATCTGGGCCACATTCAAACTATAGTCTGGCGATGTTGGCCCGCAGTAATGCCTGCGACTGATCGTTTGACGTGCGAGACGCTGCCTTGGGGAAGACTCCCCTTCTGAGGCTTGGATGTCTGATTCATGGCTCGGAGATTTTGCTTTGTCGATCTGATGGGGTTGGTCTAAAATTGTGTTGAAGCTGTGGGTAGGGGTGTTGTGCTTCTCGACCGACTCCACGCGCGATGACAGGTTGCCAATCTGTTCTTGAAGCTTGCTAACGAGCTCGCCAAGAGAAGTGAGCATGCTGTAGGCCTAAATAAGCATAACAGGTACGACAAGCTGCGAATGCATTTCAACTTTATTCACCTTGTCTCAGAGAAAGATCCATAATCCTGTTTTTGCCTGTCAAACGCGTCTGATGGCTGTGGCCGCCTGCCTGGCCCTGCAGCTGACGAGCTGCTTGGTGCGTTCGACTCTCTTGAAGCTATCGAAGGTTCGGGAGTTACCAAACTTCGCCGTCTCGCTGGCACATTGACTTCGATATCCGAGTACGATAAGCCATCGCATTCGAGAGAACGAGAGATGCAATATGAGCAAGGAATATCTCCAGAGCATCGACCCTTTCGTCGCCTGCAGGCATCGCAAGCCCGAGTCGCGTACGGTGCTCTCTTCTTCGTCGGTTCAGGCTTATTTCGAGGGCCGCGACGCTTGTTGCCGGCTGCATGATTGTCTACGTTGGTGGGGCGAATGTCGTACATGACAGTCAGCATATGCCGCCGAGTGTTGGGATTGCAGCACCAGACGCGCCAGTTGCGTAGAAAGCCCAAACGCTACTTATCTACAGCGTTATACATTGAATCGAAGTAGAACTATTGTGGAGAATGGGAATATTTGAAGATAACAGAAAGCATGGAGTGGGTGTCGAGCTTTGCGGGGGTGGCGCAACCAGCACCACGGGGCGGATAACATCCATGTTGGAGACTTGAAGTCGGCCCAAGAGTCAAGCGAATGCTGCAAAGAGCAGCCAAGGGTGTGATACAGCTGAGACATACTTTCCATCTCCTTCAAGAGAGTACAATTGCCGCTTTTTGGGAATCGACACCGTGACACGCGTATTCGTTTACTAAGAGAAAACTTCATAACCATGATGTCTTCTGCGTTGACCAGTAAACTTGATTCTGCACCCCCATCTGCCTTGCATTCGACACCCGTAATGCTGCGAGATGGCGACCATTGAAAGATCCCGGACCACTGTTATCTGGAACCCAGACTTGCAGTCTGCACATGGGGCTAGCCGATGCACTAGATGACGGGGTATATGATGCAACAGGTAGAGTGCAGCAAGGCCTGGACGCTATTCACCTCTCGACGACATACTTATGTGATTCATTGTGCCTAAGTATTCTTAACGCCGATGGCAATTCTCCATTTTCATGCCTAATTGGTTTGAAAAGGTGCTTTGATTGCGACCACCCACTTTTAGACTCGTGCAGCACATGGTCCAATGGGTCCCGCAATGATGCGGCACACTTGATCAGTGAGGACACTTGCATATGGGCTAACGGCTTGGTGTTCGACTAATCTTATCGGTGATAATGAAGTCCGGAATCGGAAACGGAACGTTCCTACGGTCCCCTGCTCTCCATTCGCAGGCCAATCAGTAATGGACATGCAGAGTACTGACCAGTTGTGCTTATCAGTGGAACGGACTGTGCCGCTTCCTTCCTCATCGTCGTTGGTAACCTCGGTGTGATGTGTTTGTGCGATGCTCAGCCACCGATGGGCCCATATGGTGAACAAACAAACAACAGACCAAGGATGCGGAAGTGCTTTTCCAGTTGGGATTTCGAGCGTGCTTTGCTGAAGTTGTTAGCAAATGGGTCCATGTCCGTACCCCGCTTCCCGGGAGCGCTCCGGATCGGGGCCCCGACATCGGCCGACAGTCCGGACGATGGCTGTAATATTGCTGACAAATGTGGTAGTGATAGAGACCGGACGCATTCTGGTGTGTCTGAGTCTGCTGAAAGGTTCAAATGCGTGATTTTATCGACCAAAGCTTCTGCCAGTGGGCGGTGTTCTCCTTAGCGAAAGTGTTAATTGTCATATGTGAAGTGAATTGCATGACAAGTCTAATGATGATCAAAATCGACAATCCTGAAATCTCCCCACAAGTAAGGACCGAAGGCGACTTAAACATGAAATTTACTACCAGGATCCGTTCAAACGGACTTCCAAAATAGCTGATATACCACTCTTCACAGCTTCAACTGCCGCGGGAATCATCTCTCCCAAGTCTTGAACACTGCTCGCCACCCCAGCCCAAGCTTGGCCCCCTGATGCTGCTTTCGCAATACCAGAGTAGTCTGGTGTCGGCGAGAACGATATGTTTAAGTCCTCGTTCGATGAAGCAGCTCCGTAGCCAGAAGGGTGCACCAGCTGGAGCGAGTTGCGAGGGGCGTTCCAACCTGTCGTATATTTATCAGTTCATGTTTCATGACCGATGGCGTCGTCGTCGTCTTCGCGAATCAAACAAAAGAACATCGAGAGTCTTGAAGCCGGACGAAGATTGAAGTTGTCATGACTTACCTTTGTTACTCAACACGATCGTCAACGTAGGGAGATTGTACCTGCGGGCCACCCAATAAACTGTTCCTGGGCAGCCAAACAAATACGTGCCATCTCCAACAATTTCGCACACGAAATTCGTCCCGCCACGCTCATTTTTAATGAAATCAAGAGCCAGTTTTACGCCGAGAGTCGCTCCACCAGACCAACCAAGTCCGCCACCGCCACAATTGATGAGATGGCCGGGTTTATCGACCCTGAGCTGATCGTAAATCTTCGGAGCGTTCGTGACGGCCTCGGCGCACCATACGGTCTCCTCAGGACAAATCTTGCGCAGTTGGGAGACGAGATATGACGTTGTGGGATACTGCGATTCGTCTTCCGGTGGTTCTGCCAGAGCGTCAAGTTGCCTCATTCGAATGTTGTGGGCCTCCTCAAGCTCAGACCGTCGATCCTCATGTGAGGGAAGGTGCGAAAGCTGAGAGTAAGTTAAGTCTTGAGCTACGTAGCTGTTCAATTGTCGTAGTGCTGTTTTAGAGTCTGCCTGGTAGCGCCGAAATGCTGGGATGTAGTGCAACGGCATGTTTTGCTTCAAGGGATCAACGTCGATGTGAATGACTTTAGCATCGTCTCGAACTTTGCATTGTGTCGGAATCCAAGGCACGTCGCAATCAATGACAAGTATGGCATCGGCTTCCTCGATACTTGTGTCGCGACCGATGCGAACACCAAGTGAGGCCCGATGAGAGTAAGGGAAACAAACATCGCTCCCCAAGGCGTCGAGAACGCGTATTCCTGGGATGCTTTCGGCCAGGCAGGTTAGTTCTCTCACTGTCGCGTGATTACGTCCCGTATACCCCACAATGATCAAAGGCCTTTTAGCCTGAGCCAACGTCGATATGATCAAATCCAAAGCTTCCGTGGGTAAGGCTGTCGGTGCTATTGGCTCCCAAGCCGTCTGGTTGAGGCTGTAAGGAGCGATTTCTTCCTCCATGACTTCCCGAGCGCCTACTACGTAGACAGGTCCCTTCGGGTTGCTAGTTGCAAACTGCAGTGCTCGATTGAGAGCTTGCTTAATGTTCCTGCCGGTTTTGAATTCACCCGTATACCGACAGTACTGTGAGACGATCTGTCTTTGATCGGGAGCATCTTGGAGCCAATGGATATACTCGGTCCGGGATCCGCGTAGCTCTCCTTCAAGTGTGAACGGAGATAGGCCTGCGAAAACGAAGACAGGGCACCGTGCGACCGACGCATTGTGAACCGCACACCCAAGCATCTGAGTTCCCACGTCTACGTGAACCAGAACGCATTGCGGCTTTCCAGTCACACGAGCGAACCCAGCAGCCATTGACATCGCAACCATCTGAGAAGTACGTTAGCAGGATCGTAGAATGAGTCACTACGCTTACAATGAAGAACGTTGGTATGGATACCTCACCTCATGAGGACAAGTGATGACTCTGGGGAACTTAACCCCCTTCAGTTGTGCGCCGTGTGCCAAAGCCTCCATGATAGCTGGGTGATCTGAGCCGAGGTTGACGAATACATGGGAAACGCCTGCCTAAGAGGAATCAGCCACTTTCTTTGAAGTTCCCTCCGCCTAAGTCGAGACCAAGATTTCCCGATCTCATCGTTGATCTACACTCTCCATTGACAAATCAAGACCAACGTACCTCGTAGAGGCCCTCGAAGAAGGCGAACGAAGCAGAGTACGTTTCTCTAGAGAATCCATCAGCATATTTTGAAGAAGAGACTTTATCGACCAGATCATTGCTTTAGTAGAATCGTTTTTTAATGCGGGAACTTTGATGCTTTTCGTTGTGCTGGCCAGCCAGCCCATCTCTCTGGTTTCAGGTGCACTCACATATCAGCCGTCATTTTTGAAGTGTGGGCAATGTTCAGTTGCTAACTATAGGCGCCGGAAGCTTTCACTGTCAATTGAAGTTGAGAAACACCCGAGATGTAAGCTGCTGCTATGTGTGGTTTTAGCCTATGGTAAGGCCCCTTCATTTGGGGGTCAGCAAAATTGCGTCTTGCTGACCTTGACTCTATTGCCACCAATCAGCAGTGCTTCAATACCAACACTACTGCTCATTCGTTACATCGTTCACGCATGACTGCGGAATACGCCATCAAACGTTGACTGGGGCCGAGGAAAAGGCTAGGCGGAAAGTATGTTTGTCGGTTTGCCTCCGCCGTTGATACATCAAGCGGAGTAAAAGGATTCCGACGTGGAAAATGCGGAACAATTAAGACAGATACTTGCAAGCGGCTTTCAACAATAAACTACATAGAATTTACGTGGACAGAGAGACACAGCGACCACTCTCCTTCATCTAGATAGGTGCTTGTTTCCGTCATCTATTCGGGTCCTATCAGCGCGATTGAGGAATGCTGACAGGTGGCAGGGTGTTCAACAGGTCGTCAATGATCGCGTAACTTGATGCCTGCTTCTGAGTGGCTGTAAGAAACTCTACGTCTCTCTTCTCACCCCGTTGGAAGTGTCGTGTGGTTGGTGTTGCATTCCGAAAGCTGAGATGCGGGGTTGGCCAAGACAATTGTTCCTATCACCAACCTTCCGAGATCCTATTCTGATAAGGAATCGGAAAAGATGCAAGGTGCATTAGCCGCTTGATAGCACCCATGTGAAGCATATGTGATCGCTTCCAAAACCGATCAGTTATCGGTATCTTTTGTTGCTTGAACCCGATCGCTTGCGGCTTGTGAAATGCCAC